TTGATTTTTTTCAGGTTCTCAGTATGGTTTTGTGATTCTTGTCTAATTCAGGGACACTATCTGTTCCGTTTTTGCAATCCCTTGAGCCAGTTTTGTCATGCTCCTCTGGGTGGCTAATGGCTTCTGGTCTGCTATTTATTGTTTCCAATTAACTGCTTGGATCCCAGCCCTCAGGTATTAATTTAGTACTTGATTCCTTGAAGTTTTAACCAGAAATTATCTGTTCAAAATCTCTGAGAGCTACTGCATCAGCCTCTTTCTCTTTCTGGACTGCCTGAATCGTTGTTTCTGCTTATCAATCATATAATGAAGTAGAAATGTCATGGGACTTGGTAAAGTGGAAAGCTCCACATACACGGAGCCTGTTTAGCAAAGCTTTCACGGTGGCACACCACCACTTAGGAACCGGCAGCTCCCAACGGCCTGCCCTACCAATGTCAAGGCCCTCTTCTCCAGTTTACCCATAAAATACCCCATTCTGCCTGTCCCACTGCCTTTCTTAGTGCCTATCATGTCAACAGGGGCTCTCCATTACAGGCAAGCTGGACACCTGTGTGACTTTAGCTGCGATCATTAAATTTTCTGTGACTTAGTTTCCTTAATTCTAAAGTGAAGATAATAGTAATATGTAAGTCAAGAGTGTTGCTATAAAGATGAAAGTTAATATGGATAAGGGACTTAGAACAGTGCCTGTCACACAGTAAGCACTTATTAACAGCTCCAATTAGTGTTATTTTGGGGCTAGATTCATGGGGGATACAAAGATAAATTGCATGTAGATCATTTATCTTTAAAGATGTAGATTATTTTAATAAATTATTTACTTTTAAATTATTTACCTTTATGGTGAGTTGTTTCAGTTTTATTTTCCTATCTCAGTTTCAGTGAAAGATTCAGCAACTGTAAGCTATCTCCCACCTATGAACAGTATATATACACTGCTTCTACTTTTTTCTTTTTCACTGAACAAGGTGATACTGTCTTTGTTCAAACCAAAGCACAAATGAAGAGATACTATAAATTTTTTTAAAAGGGTATGTGCGTGTGGTCTTTTATTCTTAGATAGTGAATGTCTATGCACCATAAGGGGAAAAGCGCTGAAACATGTGCCTCCCAAATGTTCATCCACATGTGATACATGGTCGACGTGGGAAGAATGCAAGCAGCTGAAGGAAACTCGGCCCTTTCTTCCAACTTCTGTCTTCTCTTGGCTGCCTTAATCGCTCATTACCAAGATAGGAAAAATTGTGATAAGAACTCAATGGTCAGAAACTCAATAACTGGGCCACGTTTTACAAGTGCCTTGAAGATAAGCAAGCACGAATGGTGTTCCCTTTTTCCTTCCCAGGCAGGGTATGGCTCCAAGGGCAAGCCAGCTAGCACCACTCGTGTGGCTGTGGTAAGGCTCAGGGTCTTCTCCTCAGACGTGGCCTAGCAGCAGGGAGAAGACAGCAGGAGGCTTCACTTTGGGACTTCACCCTAAGCCAACACCCAGCTCAGTTTTTTCAGAGAACTCTCTGAATAGGTAGGCTATTTGCCCACAATCATGTGGTGACCTGTTCTCCATTCTACTGATGTCCTGAATACTATATAGATTCTAGATTGAGAACCTCAAGAGAAAGAGATATGAATGGCAGGGTTCAAGCACTAAGACCCTATTCAAACTCCTGACCATAGAGAGCAAATAGGGTCATGGCAGGGCTGGTGTGCGATGGGAGGACATCCTTGCCTAGTGGCAGGGAATGGGAGGAGAGAATCAGGGACGGCTCCCTATGAGGTGACATTTGAGTTGGGAGAATAAGGATGAGTTGTATAGGCTAAGACAGTGGGAATCCTTAAGAATTCTGAAAACTAGCATTGGTAAACTAACATGTAATTTAAACTAAAAAATGAACACGTTAGGGGGTGATTACAGATACCAAATCAGCCAGTGTGCAGCCTCTGGCTTTGAGGGTCGTGGGCAATCTGGACACTGGAGAAATGGTCTCTGGACAGGATGTGTACTGGTCAGTGGGCTCCCCACAGTTTCAGTGAATTCTCCATCCCCACCTCAATATTCTAACTCCCTTTTTCTAATTTCATATTATTAAACTATCTTTTCATTAAAAAACTCAGTTCCTTGGCTACTTTGACCCTGAGAAGGGGGTACCCTGCATAGAGAAAACAAGTTACCCAATCATTAGAAAAAGACAACCCCATTTGTACTGATAGAATAGCTTAAAGGTACTATTTCTACCTCCTCATTTGCCACCTCCTGCAAAATCAGTCGGCCTCCCTCCTTCCTTCCCCACTGAATTCCTTCCAAGAAAAGCCACCCACTACTTCTCATTTCCTGAATCCACCAACTATTTTGAGTCTTCATGCTATTGGGCCTCACCATGGCTTGGGACACGGCTTCCTGGCATCCTTTTTTCCTTCACCTTCTGGCTGGGACACCCTTCTGGGATATTTCCTGCTCTGCTTTTCCCTCTTGGGTAGTACCCTTTGAAGGCAGTGTCACTGATTATTTCTAAGGATCTTGGGAAAGTCCCTATTTAAGACTCACAGAGCTAAGGCCCAGGCCCAGAGTAATCTAGGTGCTGCCCCTGAAAGGCTCACCCCACAAACATCCCACTAGCACCCACCAGATGGTTGTAGGACGGGCATATAACACATAAGTGAGCTGGTCAGACAGAAGAGTAGAAGAATAGACAGCCAAAGCTCAGGGTGAGCGGTGGAGGAGTGAGAGACGGATGTAAAAGCAAGTTGGGCCAGAGAGAAAACTCCAGATGAAGGTGTTGAAGCTTCATCCACAGAGAAGTTTGGAACCATCACAGATACTCGAAGGTTAGAGCCGAGCTTCAGGTTGTATGTGCAGAATGGGTGAGGCGGGCAAGCAGACAAACTAGAAATTCGTACACACATGGCATGACCTACTGCCCCTGTGCGGTCACCTCATTTAAATGCTCCCCACCATCAAAGTCTTTCACACTTCCTGGCTAATTCTATAAAGCCTTCCTTATGGCTGCAGCCCACCTGATGTTCATGTTTATAAAACTGTCTGGACTATACAATTAACTTCATTTGTTCTGTATATACAAACTGACGTATAGCATCTGACCTTGTTCTCCATTTGTTAGGTCCATGTGCCCAATGAGGGTATAAGGTCTCATATGCCATGTCTCAGTCACCTGGCAATGTGCTAGACTGACTATGAACAGAATAAATATGCATTAGATGCTTTCAGAATTACATGGACTTTGAAATATTTATTCTTTTCCAGAGTGACAGATTCTACTTCTGCTTGTTGTACTCCTCCCCCCGTTCCCCTGCCCCATTCTCTCCTTCTCCCTGGCCATATGGCTGCCCAGCTAGAAGACTACATTTCCCAGCCTCCCTTGCAGCTAGATCATATAATTATGTGCTTGCCAAAAAAAAAAAAATGTAAGCGGCAGTGATCTGTGCAACCAGTCTACACGGAAACTGCTTGTCCCAAACTTCCCTTCTTTCTCCTTTCTTCAAGGTTGAACAAATACATGCAACAACTCAACTTCCAACAGATGAGGATAAAGCCTTAGGGGATGGTAGAGCAACAAGATGGAAGAAACCTAGGTCCCAGAATGACCTTGTGGAACACAGCTGTCCCACCAGCCCAGACCAACCAGACCCATGTGAGAGAAAAATAAACTATCTTATTTAAGCCACTGTATGCTGATGTCTCTGTTTCAGCAGTTAAGCCTCTACCCAAATAACGTATTTCCCCAAATCCATTTTCTCCATCTTCCTTAATACAATAATTCCAATTTTTAATTGGGTATATTACTTCCCAGCTAAAAGGCTACATTTCTTAGCCTCCTTCACACCTGTGAGATACCACATGACTAAGTTGGCAAATGAAGTGTAAGAGTTGTTGTATAGGACTTCTGAGTAGTCTCCTTATAGTCAGTAACCTTCCCATCTCCTCTTTCCTACTGTCTGGAAAGTAAACGTAATGGATGGAGATCAAGCAGCCATTTTGGATCACGAAGTTACAAGCTAAGAATTGTGAAGAAGCAGAAGACCAGGACCCAGTGTCTCTGATGACCAATTCTGGATTCCTTCTAGATTTCTTTACATGACAGAGAAACTTCTATCTTATTTAAGCTATTAATTTTTGTTTGTTGTAGGTAGCTAGATCTAGTCCTACGTAACAGATATTCCTAGCATCCTATTAGTTGCTGGGACACACAACATTTCAAACCCTGACTTTTTTTATTTATTTTATGTTCCTCTTGACAGTAAAAAAGGAAAATCACTACTTTCCAAACTGCAGGAAAAAAGAAGCCAATTTCCATTCCTTCTGAACACAATCAACTTGGCTTTTGGGCTCACTGAAGCAGCTCTACAGGGTGGTCTGTGGCTGACAAACCCCCGGTCTCTGGGTCCAGCAGGCCCCAACAGTGGTGACTCACACTGGGGGACCATAATATGCATGACAACATAAAAGAAGTGGAATGAACATAGACAAGGAGATGTGACCCAGCTCTGCTGGCAGGGCAGTGAGCACGAACAGAACACTAGGAGGTTGGGGCGATTGTCATTGCAAATCTAGGTCAATACAGACAGAGGGGAAATAAGGAAACATATCTCTTTAAGTCGGGATCTCTGCTACCCACCAGCTGCTCTAATCTCTCACGCCCCAGGCCAGATGGCAGCCTCCTCCCCTAACACCTTCTACCCCAACCCCTTGACAGAAAGGGTGGAGGTCAAATGCTGAAAACTGGGAGAGCTCTCTCTCCTGGCCTCAGTCTCCCCATCTGTAAAGCGGGCAGCGGGTGGAAGGCGCTGCCAGCTCTTAAGACCCCTTCTCCAGGCGGATGGGGGTCTGAGCTGTGCACTTTCTGTCCGGGCCTCGACTGTGCCAGAGCTGCTCGCATTCGCATCTTTGCCAATTCCTCGCCCCCGCCCGGGCTCCTGCCACCGCCCGCGTCCTCCACCCCGGGTCTCCCCTCCCGCAGCCCCGCAGCCTCCCGCAGCCTCACCCTCCTCGGACAGGTAGCGCAGGTCGTAGAACTCCCCGGCGAAGGTGCCGTAGGAGGAGTCGTGGCGCGGCACCGCCTCGTCCGTGCCTGTGTTGCCCCGCGCGCGGCCCCGGGGTCCTCGGCCCCCCGGGCCCGCGCCGTCGTCCGCCGGGCTGGCGATGCAGGCGGCGGGCCCGGCCAGCAGCAGCAAGAGCAACGGCGCCCAGGCCCCCAGGCTCTGCCCCGGCGGCCGCGCCATCGCTGCGCACAGATCCCGCAGCCAGGCCGCTCCGGCCGCAGCGGGCAAGGAGCGGGGACTTCGCCGCCGCCGCCGCCGCCGCCAGCCCCCAGCTCGCAGCCCGCGCAGTCGCGGAGCCGCGGGCGCCCGCCGCCTCCTGGCCTTGATCTGCGCATCCTCGCTGGGGCCCGAAGCCTCCCCCCTTCTTCCGAGCATCCTCTCCTCGCCCTCCCTCTCCTTAGCGGCTTCCCTTCGTCCGTGCTTTCTCCCAGTCTCCCCGTTTCTCTTACTTCCCTGCACGAGTCTCCCACAGACACAGATTTGGTCCTTCTAGACTCTTGCTACTCAAAATGTGGTCCTCGGACCAGCAGCAGCAGCAGCAGCCCCCGAGCGCTTGTTAGCATCACTTAATATCGCCCCACTGCAGACACATGAATCAGGATCTGCATTTTACCAAGATCCCCAGGAAACCCCAATGCACGTCTAAATTTAAGAAGTGCTCCCCTGGAGGGTTTACCTTGGACACACCTTGCCAGAATTGCTGCCTTCCGTACCTTGTTCCAGCGCTTTTTTGTTTATATAAAGCACTTACTCTACCTAGTATGTCTTGGGATCACCACAGAAGGAAGTTGAAATAGCAAAATTCCCACTATATAGATAGGTAAACTGAGGTGTTTAAGAGTCAGAGGGAAACTTGAACCCAGCTCTTTGGGCTGGATTCGTCTGCTTCCTCTCCAGATTTTTAGATAGTGTAATCAGCAGAGGCTGCTGGTGCCTTTACATAACCTTCTCCCTTTAAAACTAGGCAACTGGTTTCACTGTTTCCCCACAACAAGCACACACAGGCCCTGGCAGGCCCATACCATGTCTGATGGCCACGTTGAAGTCTCCACTTTCTCAAATACATTCCTGCCACTTGCTATTCACTTTGGTCCATTACTCAGCCATCCATTTATTCACACCAAGCACTTACTACATGCCAGGTCCTGGAATTCTTTTCTAATGGTGGTTTTGGAATAATAACAACACATTCAGAATGCTAAGCTATTTTCCGTTAGAAAACATGGACACAATTCCTTTTGTGCTGGTATTGCAGAGTCAGCATTGTAGCCTGCTTGTTTCCCATTTCTTTTTATTTTCTTGCATAAACAGAGAAAATAACTATGGAGGAGAAAAGCATAGAGCATCCAAATGGAGGCCCAGACATCAGACTCTGTGAGGTGGTGATCAGTAACCTACCTCTGTGATGGCAAAGAAGATTAAGTAAGATGATAGAGGTAAGGATCAATAGGGTTCGAGACTATCAATGGCATGCGTGAATGTATAAGATTATGAAATACAAATATTCAGAAGAAAACTAGTGATCTCAACCTAGTTTGGCTCAGGGAAGATGGGAGACAGCACTGATGTTCAAATAGTGAGAAGTGCTGTGCGCCCAGAGATCAAGTGTTTGCTATTGGGTATCAGCTGACGTTGACAGTGGGTTGGTTGTTCAATTGAAGTTTAAACATGTTTAGCTGACAGGTGAATTAGATGTAATTCATGAAAACCTGAGGTTTCACCAGGTCTCCCAATATACCAGTTGTTGCAAGAAATCAGATTTATTGCTTGAAAAAGGAGAGATGAACTACAACTACTTAAAAAATCAAAACAAAAAGACTTCTTCCCAAGACAGCTTTGAAATGTATAAAATTCTAAAATACAAAAATGCCAATTGATTGAAAATCTGTTAACATGTAATCTTTTAAAAAAACACAACTTTAAAAAAAAATAAAACTCTTTCTTAATAACTGAAATTCCTTTCTTTTCTTCTCATCCTATTCACCAGGGAAGGTATGGTCAGTTTTAAATTTTAACCAATGTTTAGCCAAAAAAACAAAACAAAAACGGAAGAACCACATTTCTGATTTCAATGTTGATTCTCTGGTCTGGGAATCTAAGCTGTTACCTGTTACTTTTTTATTCCCTTGATTTCAATTCCAGTTTCTACAATTAGCTGTGATGGTGCCAGATATAATAGAAGGGTAAATGAGAACAAGGTCATTCTGACGAATTGGTCCGATAGAAACACTGCCTAAAACAAAGCTTGTAGGTAATCTGTATATTTCAATTATCTAGTCATGCTGACGAACCTGAGGTCCATGGACTCAAAAGGGGGCCAAACATGGGCTTCAGGGGTGGTGTGAGGACCCTATGAATGTGCTGGAATAATGTTGTAGTGAATGGATTTTCCTACAGAGAGAATATCCATAGCATTCATGGGTCACTCAAAGTCTTCATGCCTCTCCAGGGCCTTAGAGCCTACTGCAGTTTCCAGTTCCCTATCTATTGGGTTGTCGGAAAAGTCACGACGTCTTTTTTCTGTTTTTTTTTTTTGTGGCAAAAATGTGTCATGACTTTTCCGACAGCCCAATACTTGGCCGCTTCCTTTCATGAAATTCTCACATCCACTTAAATTGCCTTTTGGGGTTTTCTTATTCTCTGTGTTTTCTTACAAGAGTTGAGCCCTGGAGGGAGACCTGTTCCCACCCTCAGCACACATCCCCTCTGAGCTACACTGCAGGTCTTGCAGACATCCTCTGCTCCCCAGTGATGTGAATCGGTGGTTTTCTCTTGTGTGCACAATTTCAGGGGAAGAGCTTTCCCCGAACATTTTGAGATCACTGGCTAAACAAGAGCCATCTATCTATTCAAACAAGAACTTGGAGATGAACCTAGTTTAATTTCATTTTTAAAAGAAACCACCTTTATTTTCTCTTCTCATCAAAGCCATTTCTCTAAAACAACATTTTTTTTCTGTTACAAAAACTCCCCAAATCTGTGCTGCATCTCGTATCTGACCGATAACAGATTAGTCCATGCTTCCGACTGTCTAGTAATGTATGTGGGGTTTTTTTTTCCCTTTTGATTGCAGAAGATATAAAAGCTGTGATCTTGGCAGTTCCTCTATAAGTTAAACATAGAGTTCCCATATGACCAAACCATTCCAATCTCAGTTATATACCCAAGAGAATTGAAAGCATATGTTTGCACAAAATTTGTACGTGAATGTTTGTATTATTCATAATAGCCAAAAAGTGGAAGCGATCCAAATGTCTGTCAACTGATGAAGGGATAAACAAAATGTGGTCTAGCCACACAGTGGAATATTATTCAGCCATAAATAGGAATGAAGTACTGATCGATGCTACAACATGAATGAATTTGAAAACATGTGTTCAGTGAACGAAGCCAGACACAAAGGACCACATATTGTATGATGCCATTTGCATGTAATGTCCAGAACAGGCAAATCCATAGACAGAAATCCCGAAACAGAAAGTAAATCAGTGTTGCGAGGGAGGAGGAGGGGGCACAACGGGTAGTGAGTCTAGATACGGAGCTTCTTGTTGGAATGATGGAAATGTTCTGGAATCCGATCGTGGTAATGTTGGCACAACATAGCCAACATACTAAAAAACCACAATATTATTCGACTGCACACTTTAACATGGTAATGGTGCACTTCAGGTTTTTATAAAGCTGTGATCGTTAAATCATTGAAAGAAAGATAACGATATCAGAATATTCCTGTGTTATTTGGGGATTATAAAATGTGGGGTCCATTCAGGTGGTGTCTTCTGAATGATCTAAGACAGAGCCTAGGTTTTAAACTCTTCGAACATAAGACTCTCCCACACAGTCTGCAGTCCACACACCCTGTGGGTGGCCGGCATCCCAGACCCCTTCCACTAGCCCTCCATGCCCACCAGGGGTCTGAGGCCCCCACCCTAGAGCCTTTGCTTGGGACTGTTTATGTCAGCAAACTGATTCCCCACCCCACCCCCACCCCCGGGCCCTGAACCTAAGTTGTGTGTGTGACCATATGGTGCTGTTGTTTTGGTTTTAAGTATATAAAAAAAAAGTGAAGCGATTATACCAATTCACTTTTATCCCTGTGAATCCACCCGACACAATTGTCATCCCTCAGGTCACAACGCCAAGCACCCCTCATCCATTTAAATCGGCAAATAACCAGGACAACTGCTGAAACAATGGACTCCTCTTGATTTTACTGGTTCGAATTGAGCTGCCAAAGGTATTGGGTTTTCATATACAGTATTAGCCAAGTAGTTTGTGATCAGACTTCCAGTGACATCAACCTTCTGAAACATCTGTGAACCCAGGGGGGACATGGGGGGAAGAAGCCGGAGGCCCAGGGCCTCCTAGAAACGACGGCCGAAAAAGCCCATGCATCCCTCCTCAGAAACACAGCCAGGAGGACACTAAGATAACACTGCGGTTCCTGGCTTCTGCAAGAAAACTTCTGTTTGGCCTTGGAGGCGTCCATCAGCGAGCAGGAGGTGAACAGCTGGGGAATCAGAAAGCAGGTTAGGAAAGGAGGAGGGTGCTGGATTGGCAAGAAGTGACAAGCCCAGACACAGATATCTCCTCCCCCGTATTGTACAGGGACACATTTTTGCACCATGTGCACAAGAACGGCTAAAGCTGTTTTAAAAGTACAGCCAGGGGTCATGTAGCAAGGGGGAGGAGGGGAGTAAAAGGTCCCAAACACCGCAGTTGCCCCAGATGGCTTCACTGGTGGAGCAGACCGCAGTAAAAGCCATCAATGAGAAGAGTACAATAGTCTGTGAAAGGCAAAGCCAGGCCCCATACATTTGGATAGCTCCCGATGACATCACTGCACCACACTAAGATACAAAAGGGGCTCATGTTTATAATGATGACCATGACTCATCAAGAAAAGGTTAAATACTCTCCCGTATACTCTGTGTACTAAGGCAGGGAAGTGTATAATATGTTTTAGAAAGATTTCCCTCAAAAAATATCAATATTTTAAAGATTCAGCACTTCAAGGGTTAATCCTGTTATCTGAATATTTGCTTACATACCTCATTTTACAACAATGCTAGTAAATGAGGCGTTGCTCTTTTTAAATAATCATTAGTATCAAATTATTGGCACCATTCAGTTTTAAGTGGAGGGACAGGAGAGCAAACGATATAATTACAAAATAAAAATACAGTCCTGATACAAATATACAAGATCAATTCCACTTATCAAGTGGCCTTAAGAAATGGATAGACATTTTACACACAAGGAAGTACAGCTAGTTAATCATCACATGGAAAAGTGCTCAGCCTCGCTAGCAATTAATGAACTAAAACAACCTTTCAAGAACAACTATACA